ATGTATATAATATTATACATATGTGTAAAGAAAAACACACTAATTCTTTAGATTTATGTACTCTATGCCATATTTTATCTGTAAACTCTATGATATCTGGTAATTAAAAAAAAAGAATTTTAATGTGTAATGGTTTACGGAAAAGTATAACTTTCTAATATAGAAAACGAATTGTTTAAATTGAAGATAAAACTGTAAAAGAATAAACTTTAAAAGTAGTTTCTTTGATTACAAATAAAATGGGCAATAAGATAAAGGTGTAATTTTGTTTATTTGTTAGTTTGTTTGAACGTGCTAATCTCCAAAACTACTGGTCCGATTTGAAAAATTATTTCTGTGTTGGATAGCCCGTTTATCGAGGAAGGCTATAGGCTATAAAATATCATGCTACGATAAATAGGCGCCGAGCAGAGCGAGTGAAACCGCGCGGAAGTAGCTAGTTATTTATATCTATGCTACGCGGTATGGTCGTAGAGGGCTAAACTTCGGCTTGTAGGTTCCTTGGGGAATGCAGAGTGTACTAAGACCTCCAGTTAGTCTTACGGGAATAGAAAAATACGATACTTTTATTATCTAGTCTATCAGAAAACATTTCTCTCTTTTCTTTACCTCATTCTTTAACTACATATAAATAAATATGTATGTATTTTTTGTGTTAAACTTCTATTACATTACCTTGTATGTGGGTTATGTAATCCATGAGGTGGCCCCTACCGAGGACGATACGATAACTTTAAGGGCCTCTTAATGCGTCTTACAGATAAGAACCGTTTAAGTAATATCGTAAAATTTTATCGATAGGTATCGTCGGGGAATTCGTACGAACTCTGTTTTGCTGGTCACCGGGGAATGCTCCATGGATTAAGCTAAAAGTTTAAATTTATATAACAGAACATCACGCCTTTTATTCCCGTAGGGGTAGGCAGAGGCATACGGCACTTAATGCCACTGTACAATACCAAACCCACTTTTCACGATTTAAGAGTTATGAGTCCCATGTAATAGGGTGTGAGCCTATTGCCGTATACCGGGCAGAATTCCAAACTCCATGCTACTACAGAGATTTTTTAAACGCTTTAATACATTGTCTGATACACGAATCGAATCAGAGACCCTTGCCCCATGCCCGGCAGTCGCACTTGCGACCACTCAGTCAACGAGGCAGTCATTATAGATAAATTAAACGTCATTTTTTAAATGAACAAGCTAATATTTTCGATATTATGTTACATAATTATGGATTTATTATCTATGCTTTGTAAATGGTAATAAATTGAATTCTCTTTAGACTCTGGTCCGTACATAATTGAAAACTGTTAATTAGTTTTAGGACTTTGCATTGAAAACCGGATTACTTTTAAAATTATGATAGACAAGCTTCATTTATTTTTTTTTGTAGAAAAATATCGATGAAAGCACTAATTATATATTCAAATATTAACATTATTATTAAACTCTACTAGACTTGTCTAATTGAAACTTAATCTAAGTCTGATCTAATTAAGAAATTAGCTCTTGATGCGAGGGAAATATGAAGATAGACTTTTTTTTATCTTAATTTATTTTCTCTAGTTCGTAAAACAGTGTATTTAACTCGTCGAGTACCGTATTTATAGACCGGTGACCGCTTGGTGTTTGACAGTTTAAATGCAGAACAAAGGATATCAAGTTTGATTCCTGACCTTTTTGTTATTCGTGAAATGCAACTATTTTTCTTCTCAGGTGATACTGTTTCATTTTGATTTCGAAAATACGATGTCAAGAACATTTATGTGATTGTAAAATTCTCTGTGTGTTATAAACTTATGATAGAAGAATCTATACAGATGAATAAAATTAGAGTGTCTGTTTGCAATATTAAAATAACCACTTTTCACTACATGCATATGAATTTATATACATACGATACACATACCAAAATATCATTTTTTACAAATTCTGTCTGTCTATCAGTCGGTCTGTTTGTACCGGCTAGTCTCTGGAATCGCCGGACCGATTTTACAAGACTTTTATTGGTAGGTAGGTGATTTACTAAGGAGTAACAAAGGCTACTTTTATTTTGGAAAAAATTGAAAATAAAAACAAAAGTTATGTCCTTCACCCAGGCGGGAGAAGTCATTAGATGATTTTCCCCCCTAAAAAAAAGGCTCAAAGTGCAGGAGTAGGAACGGGGTGGTTTTTAGTCAATGAGAGTCTACCACTCTCTCTCGCCTCACCCGGGCGGGAAAAGTCATTGGATGACATCCCCCTGAAAAAAAAAAGTCAAAATCATAATCATAAGTAAAGTCGAGGTCGACAGTGCAGCTGCTCATTCTAATATTATTGATGTTTGATCTTTTACGACATTAATTTGGAGAATCTGAGCTTATAAGATTTGTTAATACTGGACAAGCTCCGAAGTTATCCTTACTACCTTACTTAATAATATTATAAATCGGAAAGCGAGTTTGTTTGTTTGTTTGTTTGTTCCGCTTTCACGCCGTAACTACTAAACCGATTGCTTTTGAATTTTTGCAGACGTAAAGTTACAAGTTCGGATTAAATAATAGGGTACTTTTTATCTCGGAAAAATTTGATATTCCCGAGGGAAAACAAAAGTACCTATTGTTATAGATGGCGCTGTGTATATCGTTATATGTCACATAGGCTACTTTTTATCCTTTTGTGACGTGACCGAAGCCGCGGGTAAAAGCTAGTGCTAGATAAACGTATATTATAACATGAATTTATGTCTTTTCATAAACAAAATTAAGTAGTTGGCAACCTAGTAACAAAAACGGGTACAAATCGATAACATAAAACTGTTATCGAAGTTGCAAAATTTATTGTTACGAAGCCGAACACAACTTATAGGTACCTACCTAACGTAAATCATTCGCGTGCGTGAACTGAAACAACTTTACTAATAAATACTTAGAATTGAAAAGACCCTTCCTGTTTATCCATTTACATTTTATCCATCGGCATTGTTTGGTTAGGGCATCCATATTGCTTTTAATATTTTCCATTATTATTAATAAGAAAAAAGAAATTTTATACTTGAGACAATATTTTTTTTAAATGGGGAAAGTCATCCGATGTCTTCACTCGACTTGGGTGAGGCTAGAGGGGTATTAGACTCTTGCTGACTAAAACCCGTTCCTACCCCTGCACTTCGAGTCGTACCCCGGCAACCCGTTAGGTCTTCACGGCTCTGTATCGGGCATTAAACCTGCTAGACTTCATCTGCGGTGGTCTGATGCTGCGCGCGGAACGTTTCGCCATCGTCACGCGATCTTCGACGATGGAGTGTCTCCCGCGACGCGACGGCTGAGTAGGTGCGTTAACGCGATTCTTGAGATACATCATCCCTGTTCTTTGAATAGATAGGTGGAGGACTACATATAATATTATATCTCACGTTTTACAATCCTTTATTTAACTTGCTATATATACATGTATGGACGTTTGTGAATCTTGGATATTTTTAACCAATTGCGCTCAAATTTTATATAAGTACACACGTTTAGTTTGCATGACCATAATAGTGGTTTATAGCTGTTCCAATTAACACTACCTAATAGGGATGGTTTTTTTGCTCACCAAGTGAAGCTGGTGTGAAAATTTCGTCTTTTTATCCAATAGGGAATTACTTCGTGTCCAACCATTGGTCAATCAATTTTTGGTAGCTACAGTGATTGGCCAAAAAACCATCGCCCAAATTCAAATGATGTAAAAGTTTGTCGTGACTTTTATGTACACCTAAGTAAGAACTTCGTATTTGTAAGTCATTCTCACTTGGCCATCATCGAACTCGCGTTGGTCGTGGTTTCACACTTTGAATCAAACTAAGTTTTATTGAGTTATCCGATTTCTATTTCAGTCGACACAAAGTTTAAAAGTATCTTGCGGTACTTAATTTTAATTGCTTAAGTTTGGGTTTATGTAAAATACTGATATTCTACTGAATATTCTAAGACTTAATGGATTACCGGGGCCCGTCGACTTGAAGAACAGGAGTACTCACGGCTCCCAAGGCGGGAGAAGTCATTCGATGACTTTCCACTCCCAAAAAAGCCTTCACCCTATTCCGGCCTTTACAGGTTGGTGCAGGAGGAGAAGAGAGGGATTTAGATTCTTACATTACATTGTAATGTAGGTAATGATTACATACATGTCGGTTGTCCCTTCCAAGAAAATTTAGAGGCTCAAACATAGTAATATTTCAATAATAAGCTTATAAGGCATCGTTCATACCAAACGTATTGTCGGCCGCTGACTGAGCGCGCGTTACCTAGTTTATCGCTATCGAACTGACGATACGCTAATACGTAGCGCGTTGTCGCTGTGGTGGCTGATTATTGATTACACCTCTGCACGGCGAATGCGGATTGAATACGTTGCCGAATGTAACAGTGTATTAGATTGCTTTGTTCACACATGTAGCGTAATGTACGCTATAGCGCAGGGATGGCCAATGTCCTATGTGTGTCCTATGCCGTTATTCATTTCTAGATATGAATGCCAGAATGCCATTGTTTCAGTTACACAAATGACTCCAGTTCAGCATGAGTTCTGCTCAATGAACTACTAAATATAATTAATTCAAAGTCAAAGCATTTATTTCAATTAAACCATAGTTTGGTACTTTTGAAACGTCGACAAATATAAAATGGATAATAGTCTGTCAGTCAGTCCGTCAGTTAAGCTAGGTGAAGCTAGGTGCTCATTCCAAAATGTAGATTCGAATAGAGAAGAACGAGAGAGAAACTCCATTCGTTACTCTTTTTAAAAAAGTATGTTTTAAATTATTATGTTGATGGCAGATGTAGGACCTCAAAAAATATTTCTTTAGAAAAATGGCATGTTGATACGTAAAGGTCTGCCATCTCTGCTATAGCGAAGAGTTGGTTTGATGGGAATACGTACTGCAGATTGAGTTCATATTCTCACTGGGGCGGACACTACATTCGGTGAGACCGATGCCTTACATCATCCTACATTTTTCTTCATTGTTACAGGAGATGTCCTGGTAAAGAAAGGTACAGAAGTATCAATCCACATATACGACCTGCATCGTCTGCCAGAATTGTATCCAGACCCGGAGGCTTTCAAGCCAGAACGATTCCTCAATCAACACCCGACACATCCCTATGCCTTTGTGCCTTTTAGTGCTGGACCTCGGAATTGTATAGGTAAGTTTTTTTATTAACACTTCATAAGGACTTAAATAAGGTGGCGGCAAAGTATATTTGTAGCCTTAACCTTTACGTTTTCTTCCGGTAAAGATGTTCATTCAATATTGGCTACTTGTTAATCGATTTATAGGTGATATAATGTACAGTGATTTTGAAATTATTAATGTGGTCATCGACTTTTGATGCTGACTGTACCATAACAAATGATTAGCCCTTTGAGTACCGTCATTATTATTTTTTTTTATGTCATAACCCGGTAAACGAGCAGACAGATCACCTGATGGTAAGCAATCGGCGTCGCCCATGGACACCTGGAACACCAGAGGCGTTACAAGTGCGTCACCGGCTTTTTTGGGATTAGGAGTTTGAGGATCGTTGAGGATTCAGGGATTGGGGAGATTGGGGAAGGGGAAGGTAATTGGGCCTCCGGTAACCTCACTCACACGACGAAACACAACGCAAGCGTTGCTTCACGTCGGTTTTCTGTGAGGTTATTATAGACACAATTTAAGAACAATAGGATGCGGTCACCGGTTTAAGAGTATTTATATATGGTAGTGACAAACAATGGCACTTTCTGATAAACCTGAACTCCTTAAGGATTTGACTGCCAATAGAGAACTGTTAGAAGCAAATCCTTCGCTAACATCGGCCACCGTAACCCCCTTGGCATTTAATGCGTTAAACTGCCATCTCCACCCAGTCTGATAAGCCGAGAGATCATAGCAAATTCTCTTAAGTATAGAAGGTTCAGTCCAGCAATAGCGTTGATGACAGAGTATGAAAATGAAAAATCTAATTAGTCCGTAAGTTAGGTAATGAAAAATATTAGACACGATTTTTTTTAATTTGTCCTATAAGAAAATAATACTTAGATAAAATGAAACAAAGTTTAGGAGTGGGTAGCTACGTCATTTTAGAGTATAAATCGTAATCAAAAGTGATGTCATGCGATATTTCAAATCAATATATCTTCGAAACTATTCGTTTCCGTAAGAAAATAAAAAATACGTGGCTAATGTTTTTAAATAATCTACCAGATGGACATTAAAATAAAAATTTATCATCTACCCTATCACTCCATATATCCCAAGCCCAGTAGTAGATTTCTCACAGATTGTTGAGTATTAACTAATTAGACATATGACAAGCAATATCAAGTCTCTATATATAGGAGATATATACGCACAAATATAGTGTACGGTTGTCCAGGTAGATTTTCTGTTCGCACACCCAAATAATCCGATGAGAGAGGTCAGGCACTGCATCAATCGGTTTACGTACAGTCGGAGGGTTAGGGTTGAAATGCCCCTGAAGTTCAGAGGCTGTCTAATAGTGGTTAATTGGAGCCATCATTTGACATAACATAACATCACACCTTTTATCCCCGGGTAGGCAGAGGTGCACATTATACCACTGTACAATGTAACACCCACTTTTCACTATTTATGTTATGAGTCCCATGTAATAGGGGGTGAGCCTATTGCCATATACCGGGCACATTCCCAGGCTGCTACTACTGAGAATTTTAAAAAACCCAGTAATACTTTATCCATCACCATCATTTGACGCTTTTGGAAATTTAATCTGCGTAGTAATAAACAGTCTTTCTATCCACACCTTAGCTTGTGGTAGTTAAAAAATAATTTATACAACTAGCTGTTGCCCGTGACTTGGTCCACGTAGAATATGAATTTTAGAACGTAACTTTTTTTTTGTTCAATTTTCCAAAAGTAGCCTATGCTCCTTAGTACAATGCTACAAGATTTCATTTTATTTGAGCCCCAGGGCTCATATATATTTTAAGTTTTTGAGTTTTATATTATTTTATGTTTACCTTCGCTTCCTATATTTTTTTTTTGTAGATGTTAAGATTATGTGTGTTCTGCGCAGAAACCTGCCAACAAAAGTCTTGTAAAATCGGTTCAGCCATTCCAGAGACTAGCCAGTATAAATAGACAGACAGACAAAAAATTGTATAAAATATTACTTTGCGATGCGTATCGTGTGTCCCTATCATATTCATGTAATAAAACATGAATAATGCTGAAAATAGTAGGCGATGTATGTGGGACTATTTTTTTATAATTATTATTACCTGTAATTACCATACTTTGTGCAAATAAACGTTCTTATTCTTTTTCTTATTCTAAAAAATAGTTATCTCAATATTTCACACACAGACTCCAATTTTATTTATCTGTGTAGGCAAAACCTCATAAAGAATTCTCCCATTGGTTAAAATAACAAAAAATCTATCAATGTTATTTTTATTCTCAATTATTTTCACATCGTCTGTATTCGTGGTAGGCATACAAAGATATATCACATATCTAGTTTTATTTCACTGCCTCGTTGGCCGAGTGGTCGCAAGTGCAAAGGGTCTCGGGTCCGATTCCCGGGTCAGGCAAAGTACTACTGAGTTTTTAAAACTTTCTCAGTGGTAGCACGCAAGTTTGGAATTGTGCCCGGTATATGGCAATAGGCTCACCCCCTATAACATGGGAGTCATGGGACTCATAACATAAATAGTGAAAAGTGGATGTTATATTGTACAGTGGCATTAAGTGCTGTAATCCTACCCCTTAGGGGATAAAAGGCGTGATGTTATGTTATGTATGTATCCTTTAGTTAAAATAAACTTTTACCTCAGTTTAATTTAAAAGTAAAACTCTTTTCCAGCCTCTAAACAAAATCCTAACAGTTTTTCTTTTGTGTTTAGATTAGATAACTTTTGCGCACAAAAAAATAGGAACATTATTTAGACTTTTCTCTTCAGTTCAGGATTGTTGTGGGCGGATTATCTAAAGGCTGGTTATTATTTTCTCAGAACAGGACTAAGCTCTTTCATCCTGGGACTAGCTTAATACAAACTACACAGCTTGACTTGTAATCTCTGGTTTAAAGTTAGGATTTCTAGGAATTAGTGTTCGTCATTTTCACTTTTGAGATTCTGATTGTGTTCTAAGTGATGTACTTCAGTTTAATAACGTAGATGTTTGTGTATTAATGTTCCATACTTAACCCATCTTATGATCCAACGGGTGCACACGTGACATTTGGAGAAAGAAAGAAATAAAGAAAGAAAATGCATTTATTTGGCCATTGACACACGAAAACAAGGATCATTACAATAGAAATAAAAAATACATTCAAAATAAAAACAAAAAATTAATGATAGATTTTATAAAAGAGAAAGCAGCATGGAGCATTTTTTCTTATGATCCACCGGGTGCTCATAAGGACGCTCGAGGGGTTAAATAACTTACTGATAGACCTCGAGTTCGACCGGATTGATACCACAGCCTCACAGAAAACCGACGTGAAACAACGCTTACGTTGTGTTTCGTCGCGTGAGTGAGGTTACCGGCGGCCCAATTACCCCCCTCAATCCCCCACAATCCTCAAATTCCCAATTCCCAAAAGGCCGGTAACGCACTTGTAACGCCTTGGTGTTTCGGGTGTCCATGGGCGACGCCGATTGCTTACCATCAGGTGATACGTCTGCTCGTTTACCGGCTTATGCTATAAAAAAAGTAAAGTGTCTCATTTTAAACGCCTTTGATAAAAATTTACTTAGATGCGTTTTAGGGACTAATGTTAATAACATTGTAGAATTTAATAATACAGTCTTACATAGCATTATTCTTTTTCTAGAAACTTAATCAAGACAAATTAAATAATGAAATGTTAAATTGAACACGTAGTTACATAAAAACAAATATATTATTACATTTTATTGTTAAAACGTGAATGTTCGACGCCTTTAAACAAAGGTTTGACAAACCTGCACGTGTCCTACCATTGCTTCAGAAAGTTGTAATTAAAGAACAAAATCAAGTATTTCTTTTATACGAAATACAAGGAAATTACGTGATCAATTATTTACTTCCTAACATTTAAAATTGAACCTTGTGGGCGGTAGTAACTTCGGTTACTTAGAAATCTTAGATTCAGTTTTCGAGCCAAACAAAATAATTATGTTAATAAAACAAGTACCTACGTTAACGATTGGTCAAAAACGTTAAGCGGTTTTAGCATTGCCGCTTTGTGCATTGTTGAATAGTTTTCATTTAACAAAGATGCATAACATTTGTCATATGTAGGCCGCGTATTGTTTGTGAAAACTGCATGCATTCGTCAATTGGTATAACGTGGACCTTTACTGAATAGGGTAGATGCCTAATTTTTATTTTAATGTCCGTCTGGTAGATTACTTTAAATCGTTTGACACGTATTTTTTATTTATTTACTTAGAAACGAATACTTTCGACGATATATTGATTTAAACTCACTTCGTCACTTCTATGTACATTTTATACGTAGAAATGACGTTTTAGCCACCACTCTTAAACTTTGATTCGTTTTATCTAAGTATTGTTTTATTATACGACAAAATAAAAAATACGTGTCTAATATTTTTTCATTACCTAACTTACGGACTAATTAGATTTTTAATTTTCATACCCTGTCATCATCCCTATTATCTATCCGTGTAATTAAGGAAGCTTGTCTTTTGTTACAATGGGTTAATAACATCACGAACGAATATTGGTATTACATCTATCAGTTTTTAAATATAAATCTCAATAATATAGGAATAGGAACTATCTAAGTGATTAATATTGTAATAGGTTTAAGTTTCTTTTTTGTATCCTAGAATGTAAGTATTTTGGCTCTTGCTGTAAACTTTCATTTTAATGTAAATAAATAAATAGAAATAAATAGAAATAAATAGAAATCTATAATATGCATGGTCTATTTGAGAATGTATCGTAAGTAGTGGCCCGGAGGTTTAAAACGCCTGCTTCTCATGCATCAGTGTGCGGGGTCTAAACCTACCAACGGCAAGTACCAATGTGACTTTTTCCGAGTCATATATACTTTCTAAGATTATCTATACACCACTGACAAACAGTGCAGCTCAGCAGTGGGTATTTATAGGCTGTTGATGACGATGATGATACAAGAATAAAATGGCTGATGTTATGTTAGACTGCCTCATTAGCCGAGTGGTCGCTAGTGCCGGGCAAGGGGTCTCGGGTTTGATTCCCGGGTCGGGCAAAGTATTACTGGGTTTGTAAAAACCTCAGTAGTAGCGGTTTAGACCCGGTTTAGACACACGAAAGATTAAATTGAATCTGAAAGCCAGAATAATACGTATTTCATTCAGAAGCTCTATGTGTAAAAGTAAATTGACCGTCAATTTGATGTGGGCGTCTTTAATTGTGGGCGTGATGTCTTGTATAGTAGGTACGTCATAAAACAAAATGGCTGATAGTCTAGGTCGTAAGTTTCAGTGACTCGGGTTGTTATTTACGATTCTTAAATAAGACGAAATTAGGATTTTAATTGACTTCGAAATAGATTTATAGATTTAGTACCTTGTAGTCTGTGAATACGAGGATTGTGATTGAGTTACTTAGGTAGGCTAAGTAAAGTACTGTAGTGTTATCTCTAGATCTCTCTATCTCTCTCTCTACAAATGCTAAGTTAAGGTTTGCAGTAGTAAATAGAATGATAATGTATTATGTTAAAAATAGAATGGAAGAAAGAAGGAGAAAAAAGGGTAAACTATTTTTTAAGTTAAAAATATTCGTATTTTGAAATTTAAAACCCATTCCATTTTGAAAGACTTCCCAGAAAACGAGTTATTAAAGTAAACAACAAGTAAACAACATTATTAAGTTTTCGGCTTACTCACGTAATAATTTGACGAGAAACTCGACTAGTTTCAAGCCATGCTAGAGGCTCATATTCATGAGCAGCATTTCGCGACCCGCGACGCGGCGACTGTCGCGCTGCTACTGGCTACTCGAGTCTGCGGGCCCAGCGCGCCCTCTGCCGTGATTCACGCGCACTTTCTTCCATTCGTGGTATCGGCGACGGCGACGCGCGTGGCACTGTTGACACGCTAGATTCGCCCGCCGGCAGCTGCGTTGGTGTTATTGTTAAAAAACAGTTTTACATACCGCGCTCACTGTGTCACACTCCAGACCCGCAACACTGTAGTCTGACGCAGATTTCAGACTCGGCTTCCAGGCAGGTGGTAATGCCCAGCCACCGTCTCTGTTAAAGTTCGGACGACGGCTTATTTCGATGGCCTCACGTACTTTCTGCGGTACGAAGTATTTCTCCCTCGCCAGTACTGAGACCTTGTCGAAACGGAGGCAGTGAGCCGTGCCCGGGCTACACGCATGCTCGGCTACTGCCGATGTATGAGTGTCACGGTTCTTCACACTGCGTATGTGTTCCTTAAGTCTGGTAATGATGTTGCGGCGAGCTTCCCCGATGTAACTCGAGCCACTTTCGCACGGTATCATGTATACTCCGGGAACTACCAGCGGATCTTTGTCCTTGTAGATGTCGCGAAATGCTGCTCATGAATATGAGCCTCTAGCATGGCTTGAAACTGGTCGAGTTCCTCGTCAAATTATTACGTGAGTAAGCCGAAAACATAATAATTTATTTATTACGTCTCACGAAAGTTACAATACAAGTAAACAACATGATCTCACTATGATCGCCCTTTTGTTATTGATACAGGGAATCAAAAACAATAAAAATAACTACCAAAACTCTTTCGTTTCACTTCGTGGAAATGGTCTGTTGAAACGTAAAGGTAAAATGTATTTATAAAATATTCAATAAAATATTTGTAGGTATACGCGATCGTATCATTTTATTGGTTACATTTTTAACGTGGAAATGGTACGTTTCTACTAAAAGTACTTAATTTATTTTCTGCAAAGCAGTGACGGTGAATAATCTGATACTTCTGTGTAATGAACATTGTAAAAGAGATATCTAGACTATATATAGACGTCGCGGAGAACTTAACGGGTAACCGGGGCTCCGGCTCGACGTGCAGGAGAAGGAACGGGGTGGTTTTTAGTCAGTAAGAGTCTGATACTCCCTCCCGCCTCACCCAGGCGGGAGCAGTCATTGGATGATTTTCCCCCCTTAAAAAAAAAGACTATAGACTATGTATTGTCTATACATTTTATATGTATTGTATTTGAGATTCATAGACATGCAACTGTTACAACCGTCATTTCTAAATACGTAGTCACAATCTACCAGTCAAAAAAATAAATTAAATGTAGCTCGTCTGCTCATGCCCTAAGTTCTAAAAATAAACACAATTTTTCCGTCTATGTTATTTCAACTCAGATTCATTTTAGGAATGTAGCAAGAGACCTAATTTACCTAACATCGTTTTCATTTTTTTTCAGTTTTATTAGAATACTAGCTTTTACCCGCGGCTTCGCTCGCGTCACAAAAGGATAAAAAGCCAATGTGACATATACCAATACACACCGCGCCATCTATACCAATACTTTTGTTTTTCCTCGGGACTATCAAATTATTCCGGGATAAAAAGTACCCTATTATTTAATCCAAACTTCTAACTATACATCTGCAAAAATTCAAAGCAATCGGTTTAGTAGTTATGGCGTGAAAGCGGAACAAACAAACAAACAAACTCACTTTCCGATTTATAATATAAGTAAGGATTTTTTGTCACAGCAAAAAGTATAGATTTATTGCTGACCCCTGATAGGTACTACTTTTTACCTCGACCCAACAACGAACCCAAAATGAGCAAGATGTGATGTGTTCAGGGTTTTCCTTTTTTTATTGGATCTTACCAGTGTTTTACATCTATTTGTGTAAGTGCGAGAGCCATGCTTCGGCACGAATGGGCCGGCTCGACCGGAGTGACACCACGGCCTCACAGAAAACAGACGTGAAACAACGCTTGCGTTGTGTTTCGTCGTGTGAGTGAGGTTACCGGAGGCCCAATTACCCCCTTCCCCAATCTCTCCAATCCCCGAATTCCCCACAATCCTCAAACTCCTAATCCTCAAAAAGCCGGTGACGTAATTGTTCCAGGTGTCCATGGGCGACGCCGATTGCTTACCATCAGGTGATCCGTCTGCTCGTTTACCCGCTTATGCCATAAAAAATTAATATTACAAACAGGCCAGGTCAACATATAGGCTACATATTATCACGTTATCACCTACGGGAAAGGAGCTGTGAAGAACTATCCAAAGTCACTATTCTACGCGGACGAAGACGCGGGCATCTACTGTAAATACAACTAGATTATTACGTTCGATGAAGCGACAAATAAATACAACATAGTTACGTATATAGACAGCAAATACATATAGAATCTAAACCCCGAATGGTTTAGGCCCAACCTCTCGAATCAAACTATCATAAGTACACCCGGCTACACAAATCCAGTTTTTCATGGCCTAGCTTTGTATGACCTTAGGCATATTCGGCGGTCAGGTTATACTGGTTTTGCATAGCTTGAAGTGTTGCCGTGTACCCATAGGTCTATCTAAATAGTAGGCATTTCTCTGCGAACCAATTTTACCCTTGATCCGGAAAACGACTGCGTATCTTAACGCTAAGCTTTGGAAATTATCCTTCGATCCTATCGAAAATAAACGGTGCTCGTGTAGATATTGTGGATACTGATACTGGTATCTCCTTTAATTGCTTATTGTGTAAGGTTTTGTTTTTTTTTTTTATATAGATTTTGTCGTCCCGCCTGGATGATAACTAAGGATTTTAGTGCAGTGCACATTTATTTAAAGTTTTGTAATAATTACTTTTTTCGAACTGTCAAAAACGACAGTCTAAGAATTTTGCACGAGATTGTGTATTGTGACGTCACGTTTTTTAAGCGTCAAACAGCATAGTTATTTCTTAAAAAATGCTGGAAAAATATTAAAATTAAGTTGGTCATAAAATAAATTAATGAAAGTGTCATTATTTTTTTAATTTGTATTGTATTGAATAGTCGTAATAATTATTTTTGATTAAGGAAAGAGTAGAAAGAGAGTTGTGTAAAGGGGCAGGTGAAAAGTAGATGGGCACCTATACTATTGATAAATATCGAATCTAGAATTAAAAAAACTAAAAAAAATGGTTGCCTGTAAACTCGGTATACGGGCGAAAGTTTTACGTGACAACGACTTTGAGTGGTGTGCCTTTCACTTTTTATGTCTGTCTCTCTCGCTCTTAGGCGGGCTAACCATGCCCGAGTGGAAGGGACGCGTGCCTCTCACTCGCTCTCATTGTGAGCGCATAACGTGAGCGAAGCGTAACGCAGTTTCTTGAAGTGTCACCCGGCAAACCAATTTATAAGACGTAGTCACGTCAAAAAAGATTTCCTTTTAAAACCTTTGATTTTAATATCGCTACAACATACTTATATTATGTTTTTGTTCTCAGGTCAAAGATTCGCGTTGTTGGAAATGAAATGCATGCTGAGTGGAGTTTGTCGTAAGTTCAAGCTGTCACCCATTGTCCCGGGAGAAAGGCCAAAACTCCTCGCCGATATGGTGCTGAGACCAGTCGGACCTGTCTGCGTCAAGATGCATCAAAGATAGGTTTTAAGATAAGCATTTTTGTATAGTTGTGAATGTTGTGATACTTTAAAATTATTTGTTGTAAGTCAAAATATAAGGTTATTATTATAGTTGTGATACTTTTACAAAAATCTAATTATGAGTTAATAAAAAAAACAAGAATGATTACGTTTTGAAATTGATCGCATGTTTTTTTAATCATGTACATCGTGAAGTTCTTATTCAAGTCTATTAAGATAAGGATACACTAGGGGACAAATGCCCTGCGACACGAGTCGCCAGCGACGTCGGATGAAGTAGCGCGACGTTGCTGGACTTTGGTCGACACTTTTGGCAACATCAACGTTACTGTGGAGATAAGTTGCGCGATGTCACTCAGACGACATCGGTCGGCTTTGCTTACCATGTCTCCGATACATGTCTTGGGACATTTCCTTTTTGTCCCATAGTGTATCCTTGGCGTCGGCAAAAATATCGTGGTGGCCTGGAGGTTTAAGGCACCCGCTTCTCATGTATATGTCTCGGCAAGTACCAATGTGACTTTTTCCAAGTTATATATACTTTCTAAGATTATTTAGACACCACTGACAAAGGGTGAAGGAAAACATCGTGAGGAAACCTAGGCTTATTATAAGTTTGTAATCACCAACCCGCATTGTGCAAGCGTGGTGATTAGTGCTCAAACCTTCTCCGTGTGAGAAGAGACTTTGCTCAGCAGTGGGCATTTATAGGCTGTTGATGATGATGATGATGTATACTTGGCATAATAAATAGACTTGAATATGGAAAGATAATTTAGAAGAAGAAAATAATTGAACTCTCCGTCACGGTCAAATGTAAGCTTACTTAAGTGTTTGTCCAATTTTATTAATGTTATCGATACTGAAATAAAATGGAAAGAATGTACCTTTTGTACGAAATTCTGTGAATATTTATTGCAGAACGAAAACGAAACGCTGACAAATGAAATTGTTTTTACATTTTTAATCGTGTTATTCATCCAACATCAGCCTTGTGCAGTTGAATACAACTATTATTACATTAAATAAAACATTTAATACCTTACTGTTATGAAAATAAAACTTGTTTTTTATTATCACCTTTAGGCGTTTTTTGGAAGCGTTTCGTTTATACCCTACTTTGTAACGCCGGGGTCACACTAACGGGAAATGCCATTAATTATCGCAATAATGGATGTTCACTATAGGTGTAGCCACTCTTTAACGCGATAATTTTACAATGACATTAACAATGCCGTTTGGCGTTAGGGGATAGCTCAGATGGCGGTATATCATAGAGATGAACGCTATAATTGACGCGATGAAGTGGCCACACTACGTATTGTCTTATCAGTGTGTGTCGAGAGCGTATAGGGAGCGGACGTGTATTTGTTTATTGTACGACGAATTTGCAAATACTTACGAATACAATGACGACGGAGTGCAGTAGTGAAATGGAATCACTTTTATCGAGATTCTGCAAACAATATCATGTTTGTAGGATCCAAAATTAAATATAAATTTACACTCATGATATTTAGGGCCGTTTGTATCGCCAATAATGAGCATTCACGGTGACCGTTGACGTGTAGCCACCCACTTTGATGTCGTTAAAATTATTGCAAATAATTATCGCGATAATGGACGTTCACGTTCAACGTTAGTGTGGCCCCAGCATCCTTACTTATATTATAAATCGGTATAAGGTTATAGGAGTTTGTTTGTTTGTTCCGCTTTCACGCCGTAACTACTAAACCGATTGCTTTGAAATTTTGCATAGGTAAAGTTAGAAGTCTGGATTAAATAATAGGGTACTTTTTATCCTGGAAAAATTGATATTCCCGAGGGAAAACAAAAGTATTGGTATAGATGGCGCTGTGTGTATTGGTATATGTCACATAGGCTTTTTATCCTTTTGTGACGCGAGCGAAGCCGCGGGTAAAAGCTAGTGATATATAAAGCCGTTTGTATCGCCAATAATGAGCATACACGTTGACCGTTGAAGTGTAGCCACCCACTTTGATGCCGTTAAAATTATTGCAATAATTATCGCATATAGAAATGCACGTTCAACGTTAGTGTAGCCCCAGCATTAGGAATAAAGCGTAAAATAAATACCTTCTCTTTTGTTATTACTTTGTCAAAGTAAATACAGTAAAGGTTTCCTAGGTGCTGTATCTGACATATAAAGTAAATTACATTTATATTCCAGTGAGAAATGTTGCTTTAGTAATCTTCAGGCACGAATGTTTTGCCTTGTATTAAAGTGTTGTAACTTAGGCAAATAAGACTCTAAAGGCTGGGTTATAAATAGTAAAATAGCGTCTTATATTCAACGTATGAAAGTGTATAATACTGTGTTCTATGTTTTAAATAAATGAATTTGTATATAAGACGAGCTATTTATTTATTCTTGTGAAGTTAAATCATACTGAGTTTTTATAACCATGTAATCAAGGTACATCTAGGTATACTTAATAAAATCATAGAAAAGTGAAAACTGTGCATAAGAATGCTTGGGGCGTGATCTACAATCGATACCGAAGCCAAAAATATGGTTTATAGAATTTTTGTCTGTATGCACGTATGTCCGGGCTAAACTCAAAAAGTACTGCATGATTTTACTTCAAATTTTGCATGAATATTAGTAACAAGTCGGGTCAACATTTAAGCTACGTATTTTTTTTAACATTGCCCCACACAAAGTATTCCAGGGTTTTTAAAAATCTCAGTAGTAGCACGGAGTCTGGAAATGTGCCCGGTATATGGTAATAGGCTCACCCCATATTACATGGGACTCGTAACATAAATAGTGAAAAGTGGGTATTACATTGTACAGTGCTATAATGTGCACATCTGTCTACCCCTTCGGGGAGAAAATACACATGACACATGTTCACATACACATGACATCCAGACCCGGAACAACAATTTGTGGATCACACAAAGAGTTGTTCCGTGCGGGAATCGAACCCGCAACACGTTGCGCGGCTGCCGGTTGCCCAGCCACCGCACCAACCGTGCGTATTATCACGCTGTCACCGACGGGGGAGAAACTGTAAATCACTAATCCACGTTACTATTATAATAGTAAATTCCTATGTATGTACTGGATAATGGATATCCCTAGGAGGAACGGAAAGTATGATGTTCAATGTAATCATGTAATTTTGATTTCTCATTAAACATAAATAGACCATCGATAATAATCTCTATCGGTACGAACGAAGCTGCGGGCGTAGCTAATGTAATAGGTATCAAATATCTATCACGGAGTATAGAAAACGGAGTACTATGTTATATCGGAATTGAAATTGAACAAAAGTAAATCTGTAAAGTGAACCTCATAAGGTTTAGAATAAGTAAATGCTTTGACTTTGACTTTGTAAGTTGAATGAAAGCATTATTATTTTTATCTATCGCTTGGTAATGTGACGTCTATTATTTATTAAACTTACATATATAAATAACATAATAACACAATAACTTTTCCGCCTGGCCAATGACGAGGACCAATTAAAAAAGTTGACGGCCAACCTTCAGGAATGAAGTAGCACCATAAGAAGAAGAAGAAGAATACACATAAATAAAAATGAATATCTGTTCGTTAGTCTCGCTAAAACTCGAGAACGGTTCAACCGATTTATCTAATTTTGGTCTTGAAATGTTCGTGGAAGTCCAGGGAAGGTTTAAACGGTGAGAAAAGGACGGTTTTTGAGGTGGTACGAAGTTTGCCAGGTCAGCGAATATATATGTCATAGTCACGATTTCATGCACAAAGGTAGGTATTAATTACCTGGGCACTCTTCATATTTATACTCCACGGTTTCTGTGATAATATAGCAGTGGATTATTATAATTAGCTTGTAGACCGACATTGTTCCAAAATTGGCTTTGTATTGTTTCCGATTTGCGATTTACGATATTTTTGACACAAAACCAACAATATATCAAAGCTTATGTTTCGTTTTATTTAAGATTAATTTTAAAACAACGAAGCTTTACGGGAGCTTTAGGAAAGCTTTCATTTCCGGGAGATTTTTTAGAAATTATAGAATACTATACTCCGTCTGTTTAGGTAGTTAACTATTTGTAAACAAACCATAAAAAGAGTTCTTTATAGTTGACATTTCCATGATTCAAAATACTTCTTAAGAAAATAAAATTGTTTCCCTTTTTACGACAGTTTTCTCTATTAAATGTTATGTTTCTGTTCCTTTTCACTTATTTCTTAATAAATATTAAATAAATCTGCTTGAGGATATTAATTTAATAACATTTATTAAATAATATAATATTTCATTACAATAGACACCATAAAGAGCCTAAAATCCCAGGTATCCAAAACGTTTCTTTAAGAACGAAGCAAAATAATGATGTCAAATTAAAGAGTACAACGAAGATGTAGCGCGACAATGAAAGTAGCGAGTATTACGTTTAGTCGGTTAATCAGGCGCCATTGACAGCTCTCTCGTCGTTTGCGCTCGCGTTCCTATTTTGTTGAATTTAACTTGTTTCTTTGTTTTGTTTTTGTTATTAAGTTATTTAAGTTTAGGTTAATCATCGTTTGTAATTAATGTGTTCAAATATATTGAAGAAACTTGGCCCAAAGACAGATATCCGTACAAGAAAGAAATCCGTACATCAGATTCAGAATAGTTTCTATTTAAACATGATGATGAAATAGACCCATAGGCTAGGCTCTTGTACGATTTAGGCATTTGTACTTGTATGTGTGTGTATGACAAATGAACGATTTTAAAGTGAATTTAGTTAAAATTAAAACACGAGAAATATTTGAAGTAATAGTAGGTTAAGTATCTCTGTGTCACGTGGTTTTCTTTGTTTACCTTTAGTTAATTACCTAAACAGATGGACTATATATATACAAGGTTTAGTTTTGAAGCCGTGTCATTTCTCGGGGGCATGTCACAGAAGTCATAAAGGTTCAATGTAAGAAAAAATTTCGGGCCAATAGATACGGCTGTAATAAATCGTTTAAGTTCGACAGTATTTCAGAAT